TTTTGAGGAAACTGATTTTAAGTGTGCATGGCCATCTTGTTGCTCACTCATTTTAATAGAAAGGGTGTTCTTTTTTCTTCTACAAAATGAATTGCAAGAACTGCTTTTCTCCATTATGGAAATACATTTAATTGCTGGCTTATTATTATCTTTACTTTCTCCCTGAAACAAAGTCTATTTTAAATGTATATTTGCCTGTTTTTTTCTTCCAGTGTTTCAGTTTTACCCTACATATGCAGCTTTTAGAAAGAAGAACTGTCTGACTGATTTTGTAGGCTATTCATCTACAAATGCTCTATTATATTCAGTTACCAGTTGCTTTCTGAACTTAGTATTTGGTGATTAATTTCTTCAGAACTAATTTTTGGGGCAAACACCAGTAACACTTTTGATTAACTTAAAGTAGGTCTAGTCTGTGATTTTAGCAATATTTGAGCAATTTATTAATGCATTTTGTTAAAAAAATGGATACCAGATTCTCTTTTTAAAATGACAAAATTAAGCTTTTATAAAGCTCCATATCATTGATGGCGTCAGAGTTAGTTCATTATAGTGTTGTCTCAATGGAAGTCTGAAAATGCCATTTCAATAAATAGAATATTTAAAACAACATCAGTTATCAAATTAAATGCAGTCTATTTGTCTTCTATTGCTGCTGGTGATAATTCATGACACTTAATCACAGGTATTTGAATATAAAGAACCTTGCATAATTGATTGGTTGTTTGACTAGTTGATTGATTGATTGTTTTTCATCTGTCATGTCACAAACAGTGTTTTAAGACTGGGAGAAAGCAACCAAAACTTAACCTACCAAAATGTAACTGCTGGCTGGCTGATTTAGTTATTTGCTTTGTGAATGTCTTTATTCTTTCAACTACAGAGAAACTAGGAGTTTTTCTACAGCATGCTATTGTGCAACAGCAGAGCTCAGTCCTGGATGCCAGCTGCTTTTTCTCTGGTTGGAGTTACTAACGTTTTTTGTTCTGTAGCGTCTGTGGTTTGATCCAGTATTAAAAAGCAAAATATTCATGCAGTTGGATTCCAAAGAGGCTCTTGTTCTTAACTTAAATCTTATTTGATGATCCTCCATCTCCTACATATTTACAAAATCTTTCAACTTCTGTTAAAGAAAAAATATGACAGGAAGAGAATTAAACCTGTAACATCCCATGCTTATATATATGTGATTGCATCACCATTGAATGGAAACATCTTATTTTGTCAAGAGGGAACTTTATTTTTTCATATCCATTTTTGAAATATTTTCATGTATATATTTGACTAGAATCCTAGGTAATAAATAGAAAATATTTCACAGACATAATGTAGTTGTTACTTCTAAATTTAACACATAGTTACTTTATACTCTTTTGATTGTGACAGCTTACCCCACACCTTTGAAGCTTTAATCTTTGAAGGGACAGCAGTTAGGAAATGGATATGTGGTGTCTGGACTGTATCTGGGAATACCTGTATATGTAATGTATGGAATAGATGTTCAGTCTTTGAAGTTGAAAAATACTGAACACCAAGAATTTGAAGGAGGCTTAATCTTCAGATGTGCTGAGCTTTCATAATAGTGTGTGCTTTTAGCTTTCCTCAGAAAATTCAGTTGTAGTTGGAGAAGTATGGGAATATATTCAAGGTGTCATCAGAAAATATGCCTCATGAACTCTTTAGAATTTAATTTTCTTTACAATCTACAATAAGTTTGCAACTCAGCATCGAGTATTGCCTCAGGTTAAAAGTGACTTATTTCCCCAAAAGGGAAGAGTTATGAGAGAGGTTCTAATAAATATGCCTTTTATACTCAAAAAGGGAGAAAAAAAAACAAAACCCTTGTATGAAATCTGTACTTCTCCATAGAAGACATGTGATTCCTACTTCATACATATGCAGTATTTGGACAGACCTGTACATCTAGAGAAATAATGCTTATACCCCAAAATACCTGGAAAAAAAATTTAAAATATTTCTTGAAGTAGTAATAGATATGTTTGCTGCTTTCTATGCACATTCTTTCATTTGGCAACATACTTTATGCCATTCAAACATACTGTAAAGTTTGTTTCTCTTTGTCCTTGTATTTATATGTAATTCTGCCTTTCTGCATCATCTATCTATTAAAATTATGTAATTCATTTAGCAATTTACATGCAAATTCAGCATAATTTCTGAAGGATTTTCCCATCTTCCCAATCATATAGTACATGTGTGTACTGTCATAGAATGTCTTATCATAGAATCACACAGAATCATTCTGGTTGGAAAAGACCTTTAACATCATTGAGTCCAACCATTATCTTAACTCTACTCAGTCCAGTGCTAAACCATGTCCCTAAGCACCACATCTACATGCCTTTTAAATATCTCCAGGGCTGATGATCTGAGAGAGAGAGCTATTTCATGGTACATTCATAAAATACATCTACATGAAGGTTATTAATCTTATCTGAAGATCTCCAGAGGTTCCTGCCAATCCCTACCGTTCTATCATTCTGTGTGATTCTAAAAAACTGGAAATGCAAATTTCTACGGAGTTTTCACTATACCTTAAGTAGAATCATGGAATCGCTTAGGTTGGAAAAAACTTTTAATATCATGGAGTCCAACCATTAACCCTACTCTATCAAGTCCAGCACTAAGCCATATTCCCAAGCACCACATCTAGACTTTGAAACACATCCAGGGATGGTGACTCAACCACCTCCCTGGGCAGCATATTCCAATGTTTGACAACCCTTACAGTGGAAAATGTTCTTCCTAATATCCAGTGTAAACCTCCCCTGGTGCAGCTTGAGGCCATTTCCTCTTGTTCTGTCACCAGTTACTTGTGAGAAGAGACCAGCACGTACTTCTTTACAACGTCCTTTCAGGTAGCTGTAGAGGGCAATAAGGTCTCCCCTCAGCCTCCTTTTCTTCAGACTAAACAGCCCCCGTTCCCTCAGCTGCTCTGTGTAAGATTTGTTCTCAAGGCCTTTCACCAGCTTCATTGTCCTTCCCTGGACACATTCCAGCACTTTGATGTCCTTGTCTTGAAGTGCCCAAAACTAGACACAGCAGTCAATGTGTGGCCTCACCAATGCTGAGTACAGAGGGACAATAACCTCCCTGGTCTTGCTTGCCACACTATTTCTAATACAGGCCACAGGATGCCATTGGTATTCTTGGGCATCTGGGCACACTGCTGGCTCATATTCAGCTGCCTGCCAATAAGAGCCTCCAGGTCCCTTTCTGCTAGACAGCATCATTACATGTATATCTGACATAAGCTGTTTTGGCAGTTATTTCTTCTTCCTTGTCTTTTAGATCTCTTTCCTTTAGATTTCATGATACCTTAAATTTTACTTTTAATTTCTGTGGAAATTCTGTCAGAATGAAAAATTAGGCTGGGAAAGTAACTTTGTAGCTCCTTTGTATACATGACAGTAACTGTTTGTGTTGACCATTAAAGAAGAAAAGAATTTGGTAAAGTGGCTGGCTTTTGTTATCTTCCTGACAGTACAGTTTTAATTATGTTTACTTGTGTGACTAACTTAGAGCTGCTGAAGTTGTTAGAAGTTGCTTCAAAAGTGTTACTGGGATTTACTGGGCAAGTACATCCTGGCACATAAGGTACAGCAGAAGATATAAAAAATGTCAAGGAGAAATGAACATCATTTTATCTGCAATAGCTTATGTAGAATGCATCAGTAATAGTGTTAATATAAGATGAAATCCAGCGGAAACAAGATCCTTTGTAGCTTGCTGGGTATGGGAGGTGCTGCAGGGGAGGAGCTTCTCCATCACCCAGTGTAATTCTAAATTCTGAGTCAGCCTCTTCCATTTTCTATGCCAATGTTTATTTTCTAAGTTTATTGTAATTTTAAAACACTATACCTGAGGCTTTGTTAATTTTCCTTTGGCAAAAAACAGAGAAGAGGGAAGGGAAGAAGGAACTGAGAAACACCAGCATGTACTTTTTTAACAGTGTTACTTGTACCTATTCAGCAGACAGCTGGCAATGCTGTTGATTTAAATATTTTGTGGTTACAACAGCTTAGGATGACTTAAGGAAGACTAGGAATCTGGAATGTTTCGTCTCTCTCCTCAGACCATGCACTTTTTTTTTCTCCCTTTCACATCATAGCTACTGACCTTGACAGATACTTTAGAATTTCCTAAGATTTGGTTTTCACTAAATTAAATTTTAAATTCTGCCTGATAAGTTTTCAAAATTTTACTTTTTTTTTTTTACTGTGCTGAATGTACATGATTTCAAGTGCAACTTACAGAGCGTTTTAAGTGTTGGAGTCAGCTTTGCCATTGAAATAAGCAAACATTGCCAATACTTTGGCTGTCTTCCGAACCACACACTTGATTATGGAATTGGATATCTGCAATCTGCAGGGTTTGATGGACCACCAGCACAATATACATATATCTGTATATGTCTCTTTAAGAGGCAAAGGTACAGATAAACAATCTCTTGAAGATTTGAAATGAAACAGTATTGTAAGCCTGTAGCTACTATGAATGTTTTGAATGTTCTTATAAAGGGTGTTCTAATATGTTTAGAAATGTTAAAACCCACAATTTTTTAAAAGGTGTTAGCTTGGTGTATTGCTCATCACTTAGTTACAGCGTGGCTGCTGCCACAGGAACCGACTGGCCATCTTGCCCTAAAAGCCATCAAACATTTTGCTGTAGATTTCACTGATGTGGTTGCAAGAACTGTATGGTTGGGATTTTGGGGTAGTGAATATTATAATAATAATATAAGATGTTTGCATGAGCTAACCATTTGCCTTTTCAACTGTCTGGGGTTAGGAGCAGAGCTGTCTTCTGTAACATGTTTGCAAACTGTACTTTTTCTTTATTCTTGACTGGCAGTGTAGTCTTTTCTGCTGCTCCCAGCAGCAACAGGACTCAGTAATTCAAGGAGGAGTTTTATATACAAATAAAGTACATCTTCCATTCTAATCTGTACTTGCTGTGGCTTTTTCCCCCCCTTTCAGGAGGACACAGATCATAACTATTACACTTCAAGGACATATGGCCCATATGATTCTACCAGCCGGGATTTGTGGGTGAATATAGACCAAATGGAGAAGGACAAAGTAAAGATTCATGGGATCCTTTCCAATACCCATCGACAAGCAGCTGTGAGTTATTATACCTTTTTATTCTGTGACTGTCATAGCTGTTTTTCACTGGTGACCAATACGGTATTATTACTAAGTATTGTGACTACTGTTCACAGAGCTTTATCTTTGAATTTCAGTTAAGCTGTGAAGGTCTGCATAGTATTACTACTAAATTATTCCAACTTACCTTTTTGCACTTGCTATAACATTCCTCCAGTAATGCCTTTACAGATATATTTAAAATTCACCTCTGCTATTCAGGATCACAAACTACCAAAAATAAAGTAGTTGTGTTGCTGAAGTCAGAAGAAATTTTACTGTTTACTTCAATAGCAACAGAACTGGTCTCAGGATTAATTTGCTGACATTTGTCTCCCATGGAGTGTATCTGTGTTTGCACTTCCATTTTGTACAATGTGTCACACTTTTTCATTTGGGACAACTGATAAAACTCATTAGAATATCATATAGTAACAGAAGTGATAGATGTTATCACAATTTCAGGGTATCAACAAATAAATATAACAGAGTGCAAATAACAATTTTGTTTAACTTCCTGTAATAATGCTGACATTTAAAACAGGTATGAAAATAATAGGCTTACATGCTTAGAAGTGAAATTGAATGCTCCATGATTTACAGATTTTATTCTCATATCTCACCTGTAGCTGAAAACTACCTACAAAGAGCCAATACTAGCACAAATTAAATACAGAAAATTACAAGTCAGAATTGTGATTCATGAGGTTGTTGTTTCATCCATCGACCAACTTAGCTCCAACAAAAAGTCTTTGAGTTTTGCTAATTTAAAAACAAAATCTAGTCAATGCCCTATTTAAAAGTTGTTCAGTTTTTAAAGATAAGTGTGTTTAACAGTTTTAAAGTTGAGAGAAAAGCCAAGTTTAATTCATCTTTTCTCTCACGTTATCTGTTATCTCCCTGGCACCAGTCAGGTGTCTGACTCACAGGAATGTAAGAGGCAGCAAGAAAAAATACTGTGGTATTTAGCTCAGAATACAAAAAGCCAAGTGGAATGATAAATCCACTACATGTGTCTGACAGAGAATCCAATATGTAAAATATATCCTCATAACCAAAAGGAATGTAAGAAGCCAAGGATATTGCAAATACAGAGAGTTCAGGCAGTCATATATCTTATCTATTAAAAAAAAACACAGTACCAACTATTTTCTTAATTTATTTTTTTTTCTAATGAGAAAAAAACCCTCAAGGGTATGCAAAGGCGAGAACCTGTATTGTCTGCCTTGACTTCTTCACCTGGGATTCTGGTGTTCCATGTTGACAGAGAGAAAGGAATAATGCAAAAAAACATCATAAGGGAATTAAAAATACTTAAATAAGGAAAAACATCTTTCCC